TCCTGCTTTCCCTTGGTCTTAACCATCCAGCAGAACAGTATAAAAATGAAATATAAGAAGTAAAGCCATGCTGTTATGCTGAGCTGTAGGGGACTCAGGTCAACAATTTCTGACATTGCCAGTGAAGTGGAAGACCCAATACTATTATGGGCTACTGGACTCTTTTAGAATATTTTGCTGAGTGTACACACCTATAATATTCAAATAACAGAACTAAACAAAAAAAGGGGATACAGATGGATGTCCATTTTGTATCTGTATATCAAAGTGGTTAGGATAAATATATAGTTACATTCTTTTAATGAATAGAAGGATTTGTTCTAATGGTGTTTGTAAATAGGATATCATGTCCGCATCTTGTATAGCAATTAACCACTAGGAAGAATGTATGCAATGTGTTAATTATTGAAACTGTCCTACCAATTTAATTTGAAACTGTCTCATTGCTATTTGTTTCTCAATAAAATTTAGAAAAAAAAAAAAAGATTCTTCATCCTTCTTGAGGAATTCTAAATCCAGCCAGCACTACTTTTCTTTGGAAAGTGGAGTAGAAATAAGACTCAAATTGTGCCCAAATAATTTCAACTTCATTATGCCATGAATACCAAAACAATTAAATGAGTACTTGCTATGTCATAGGGGATACATGTTTCAGCATCATGGGGACTTGCTTATGCATATGTAGAATGAGAAGATGGTATTACAAGGATTGCTGTGAGAATTAAATGAGGTATTGTGTGTAAAATGCTTAGAAAAGTTCCTGACTTGGCATTAAGTGCGCAGCAATTAGTAGTGCATTAGTTATAACTGTATTTATACATGCTGTTATTTTTAAGATTATTATTGAATTGTTGATGCATTGAAGATCATAGAAATCAGTGGATTGCCCATGTTTTCCAGCTTATTAATTTCAGCGTCAGGGCTCTGCCTCAGGTTTCTGGCTGTTAGATGATTCTCTTGCCCTGACATCTGTATGCTGTACCATCATAAAGTTTATATTCCCACTTACACCAGACTCAGACTAGTCCTGAAGTCATTTGTATTCCCTCAGCATCCACCTGCTCGGAAAGCAAGTGTGGCATTGACAAGAATAATCACACTTGGCATTCGTAAAATATTATATATGTTTCAAAGCCCCTTTGCATATGTTACCTCATGTGGGATTATGCATTTGCCATGGATACTCCACTCATGCATAATCAAAGTTGGAATTTTATGCTGGTTATTACATTTGGCTTCAGCTGGCATTGGGGAGAAACCCACAAATCAGTTTATTTAGTGTAAGGCATATTCATCATCATCAGTTTTCAGGGAATTTAGGTCAGTCAGAATTGAGAATTTGGTTTGCATGTCTTAGGGAAAAGTGATGTTTCCAGGGATTTACTTTATACAGGTAGCAAGGAGGGTGGTGACAGAGAAGGGCATAGAGATGTGATGCAAAACCTAAGCTCTTACCAGTGTCCTGACAGATAAGTGCAGGAAGCAAGGATGCCTGTCCTGAAACACGTAAAAGCCACATGTCAAAGGCTGTGACTTAACAAGTGCCAGGAAAGGCAAATTTGTTTAGAGTCAGACAAATTTCCGTTCAAATACTTACTAAATACTAACTTTGAGCTAGTCATGTGACCTCTCTGGTCCACAATGTTCTTGTGGCTTACATGGGATTTGGGGCTCCATAACATTATGATAAATATAAAATACATAAGTACAGTACCTACATGTGGAAAGTGTGTAAATGGTAGCTTTGTCCATATTATTGGCATTCATCACTGTTTTGGGAGTTCTGGAGGCTAAAATGATATTCACTAAGTGTATTTCTCATTGCTGTCATTAGAAGGACCTGAGAAAATCTGGTTGGAAGCAGCTTTGGGGAATGAGGCTCAGGATGGCCTCTGAGACCATGGACAGTGGGACAGGTTTGGAATTGCCCCAATTAAATGGCAGATGCTTGATCCACAGCCTCTCTTATAGGGAATAAGCAATCACTATCACTGAACGATTCTGCAAAAAGGAGGCCAACACTGGACATCAGGACCCAAGACCAGGCACAGGATCATGCCTGAGCCATGCTGCACACAGTAGGTCCTCCAACAAAAAGGAGCTCTTGAGAGACCTTGATGTTAGAAGCTGCTACACTGTGGCTATTGGGAGATCTACCTGGAGCTGAGTCTCTTTGGAATTTCTCTCTCTCTCTCTCTCTCTCTCTCTCTCTCTCTCTCTCTCTCTCCCCCCTGCCTCCCTCCCTCCCTCTACCAGCTCCCTCCCCCCTCCCCAGGAATCAAACACAGGATCTCACACTTGCCTGGCAGGTGCTGTACTAGTAAGCTATATTCTCAGCCCCTGAACTCTTTTAACAGAAACAAATACATAAAGACCAAAGCCATTCAGATCAGAATTGACATATTCCAGATTCAAGTACTACTGAAAACTTGGCTTAGGTTTTCCAGCAAACCCCAGCTTTGCAAAAGTAGTTGTAGGTGAGTGAATGTGTGTGAATGTGTGTCTCTGGTGTGTATTATAGGAGTCGATAAGAGATAATCTTTTGTGTTTCAATATTTTTTCCTCACTGAGAGTTGTGTTGCAGCTGAAGGTTCAAATTGAGGCTGGTCCTCTCCACAGCTGAAGAGTTCCGGCAGGACAAGCAGCCCACAGGGCCCAGAGGGCCCACTTCACCTTAACTTGGTGAGCTGAGGTGTATTGCTGGTCTCATCTGAACCCCACTGATGTCCAGACCTACAAGAGCATGCTTGCAGCACAGAAGTGGCAGCAGGTAACAGGGGCGAATTAGTCTGCCAGGGAGACTTCAGGTGCATGAAACAGAGGTGCCCAGACAGAACTCAGGTGAACTAATTTAAATACAAATTCCCAACTTATGACCTGCATTGTTAAATATCATATCATAAATAATCTCACTGGTAAAGAAGAAATGTTAATGATAATGAAAGAATTACTAAGCATTTCTAAAGAAGACACTGATAAAAAATTGAGGATAAAAATGATGGAAACCTTGAATGAGCAAGCAATACAAGGAATAGAATGCATGAAACAGTTCAAAGAGATATACAAGAAATTTAAAACTCCATTACAAGTTGGCAAAACTGTTTGAATGAAAGATAGATCCCTGGGATATCAAGCTGGCCCTGTCCCCAGGGCATGCTGAGACAGTAATTGAAACTGGGTGTGGTGGTGTATGCCTGTAATCCCAGCATTTGGGAAGCTAAAAACAGGAGAATCACTACAAGTCTCATCTGTGTAATGAGACCCTGTAGACCCTGTAGTAAATACATTTCTTAAAAAAGGAAGTCAAAATACACTTTCAGACCTTGAAGACTCCATTGCAGCCAGTGAAATGGTAAGAAAAGATCTCTTAAAAACAATGAGGATCCAGGAAATAGTCCATCAGCTGCAAGATGATGCAAAGATGAACAACATAAGACTAATTGGTATCAATGAGAAAGAAGACAACATAAACAACATAAAAATAATATGGGCAGAAATAATAACAGACAACTTCCCAAATATGGGAAAACAATGACATTCAGGTAACCAAGGCATATAGAACCTCAAATAATATCAACCCAATTAAAGCTACACCCAGACATATAATAATGAAGATCCCAGAAATTCAGCACAAGAACAACATATTAAAAGCTGCTAGAGAAAAGAAACTGATCACATTAAAAGAAAGCCCATCAGAGAGTCCCAGCCCAGGCGCAGCGTGGGCCGGACCCTCTCCCAGCCCCTCGGGCCGCCCCCCACCACTCTGCAGTTCCTCCCCCCCCCCGCCCGCCGAGTAGGATTTTCTGCCGAGTTCCGGGAGCCCCCAGACCCAGTCCTAGCCCAGGTCCGGTGAGTGTGCGGAGAGTTTCCTGCTA